GGGGGGGCATTCAGCAGCCGGCACTCCTCCTTCACCTGGAATTGGGGTGGGGGGAGACCCATCAGATCCCCCAGGCATTCGTGCCAGGGGGTCTGCTCCAGGACCCCATGGATGCAGGGGAGGTGATGGGGAGGGCAATGGGGCAGCCAGCCCTGGTCAAGCTGTGAGGCTCTGGGTACCAATGGGGAGGCCCAAGGGACTGGGTACCCTGTGATGCAGGGAGCCCCCAAGATGTGGGTGTCCCATGGTGAAGGGGATACTGAAAGACTTCGATGCCCCCCTGGTGCACAGGAGCCCAGAGGATTTTGGTAGCCCACAGCACTGGGGAGCCCAAGAGATTCAGGCACCCCCCGGTGATGGGGAGCCCTGAGGGACCCCATGGTCCTGGGGTGTCCTGGGGATTCATGTCGCCCCCCCCCCAGTCATGGAGACCTCTAGGGAACTGGGGACCCTGTAGTCCAGGAGTGTCTTGAGGACTGGAATGCCCTGAGGACTCTGTGGTCCAGGGGAGTCCTGAGGATTGGGGTACACCCAGTGATGGGGAGCTCTGGGGGACCTCATGGTCCAGGAGTGTCCTGGGTATTGGGGTACCCCTGGTGATGGAGAGCCCTGGAGGACCCCATGTTCCAGAGGTGTCTTGGGGATTGGCTCACCAGCCGTCTGGCTGCATTGCCCACAGGCAGTGGGGACCCCAGGGTGTCCCCCAGGGACTCTTACCGCCTCTGACTTGGGTGGCACAGGGGGTGGGGTGTCCCCGCGGGGCTCATCCCCAGGCACACCGGGGCGATGCAGGGAGCCCAGCGCGGCGACAGCCCCGAAGTTGCCCATGTCCTGCCGGCCACCACCCCCCGGCTCGCAGCAGCCCTCAGGGCTGGGATTGCTCCAGAGCTCCTCGTAGGGAATCTCCAGCGGCTCCTGAGTCCTGAACTCCGGCTCAGCCCAATCAGGCGTCATATATTCCCTTTCGGGATCAGGGAATTCAGGCAGTGGCGGGCGGGGGGTGCCTCCCACACCCCCTCGAGGTCCTTGGCAGCGGGTGGGGGTCTCCCGGGGGACTCCGGGGACACAGGAACAGAGGGAGAGCCGCTGGAGGGACTGGCTGAGCTCCTCCCGGGCACAGGCGGGCAAGCAGAGCCGCAGGCGCCGGGGGCTGGCACATTCCTCGGTAAAATCCGTCTTGGCTGCCCGCACGGCTCGCGAATACTCGGCGGGGTTGAACCGGTCGTTACAATAAGCAGCGACGTCCCTCAAGAGCTTCTCCAGCTGGGGATCCCCGGCCAGCAGCCCCTCGGGCAGCTGGAAGCGGGGCATGTCGGTCAGCAGAAGGAAATGGAACGGGACCAGCTCATCCCGCCGGAGGATGCAGCACAAAACCACCGTCTTGGAGATGATGCCGACCAGTTTGTAGCAGTGACCTTCCCGGATGGCGTGGAGGTCGTAAGGGTTGCGGGCTGGCCGGCTGGGGACGGCCACGTTGACAGGCAGGCGGACCTTCTCGATGATGCTGCGGATGGTGTGTTCCCCCTCCTGCAGGCGCAGCTCCAGGGGGCTGCGGGTGCTGAAGCGGCCCTTGCACTGGAAGGGGAGGCTGAGGCTCCCGGTGGTGCGGTGG